AATTTGGGGTCCCCCCCGTTCTCACCAGAGGCCGAGGGGAGGCTCAGCCCCAGCAGGACCCCGAAGGAGGCGTCGGCCCCGCCCTCCCCTTCCTCCTCCTCTGGCCCCGCCCCCAGACCCGCCTCCGGGGGGCGGGGCCACAGGTTCCCTGTGGGCGGGGCAGAGGGTGGGCCTCGCTGTGACCACGCCCACAACCCACCCATTGCTCTGCCCCAATCTCGGGGTGACCCCACCCCCACCCCGTGACCTTAGTGTGACCCCCCCGAGGACACGCCCTAAAGTGGGAGGGGGATGGGGGGTGAGGGCGTGGCCAAATGTTCCCTGTGGGCGGGGCACACCCTGACCACACCCACTGACCCCGTATTATCTCTTGGCCCCACCCCAACCCCTCTGGCCCCACCCCAACCCTTGACCCCACCCCTTAGCCCCCCCCCACACCCTTAGTCCCACCCCCAACCCCACTGGCCCCACCCCAACCTCCCTTAGCCCCACCCCCAACCCCACTGACCCCACCCCTTTTGGCCCCGCCCCCTTATCGCAGGGCGCCCCCTGCTGGACTCACGCGCCAGGAGCCGCGCGCTGGGCGCGGGCAGGGCAGGCAGCGCCCCCTGCTGGGCGGGAGGACCCCAGGAGGCGTTGGGGGTCTGGGGGGGGGCGCAGGGCCTCAGGGGGTCCCCGGGCCGGGGGGGGAGGCACAACCTGGGCAGGGGGACACACGGAGGGTCAGCGCGCTCATTACCATCTCATTTGCATGAGGGGGACACGCCCACTCATTCCCGCCTCGTTTGCATTGGGGAGGGGCTAAAAGGGTTACTCACGTGTTGGCCCCGCCCCCGGGGAGGGCGCGGCGCACAGACCCCGCCTGCAGGGCCAGGAGGGCCAATAGGAGCCCGGCAGGGCCCAGGGGGGCGGCGGCCGCGCGGACGGAGGGCGGGGCCAGAGACCCCGCCCCCAGCAGCGCCAGGAGCCCCGCCCCGTAGCCACGCCCGTTGTTGAGCCGCCCCCAGCGGCCACGCCCCGGCAGCACCGCCCAATTAGGAGTCAGGTACACCTGGAGGGAGGGGCTTGAGGGGTGAGAGGCTCCACCCACCCCAGCATGAGGCTCCGCCCATTTTAAGCTGGTCATCCCCCCACCTTGGTGGGAGCCACGCCCTCTCTCACCACGCCCTTCCTAGGAAGCCCCGCCCACTCAAGGAGGCTTCTCCCCTCCTGAGGCTCCACCCACTCCTGTCAGGCCACACCCCTAAATCCCCTCCCCCTTTGGAGGCACCGCCCATTTCAATAAATCCCACCCCCTCCTCACAGGTCCTGCCCCTCGAGGCCCCTCCCACTCCCTTGACCCCTCCCACTCCTCAGGCCCCTCCCCTCCACACACCCCACCCACTTTCCAGACCCCCTCCCAGGCTCCACCCCCTCTCCAGACCCCTCTCACTCCCCAGGCCCCTCCCCTTCACACACACCGCCCCCTTCCCAGACTCTTTCCCAGGCCCCTCCCATTCACCATCCCCCTCCTTCTTCCCAAGGCCCCACCCTCTCTCCAGACCCCTCCCACTCCCTCAATCCCTCCCCTCTACACACCCCACCCCCTCTCCAGACCCCTCCCACTCCCCAGGCCCCTCCCCTCCACAC